TTTTCTGGCTCATGGCATGTATCTGTCTATGATAAGTAAATCCTGAGTTATGGATAATACGGATTCTTTTCCCCCCAAGTTTTGTGATTAATGTTTTATACCTTAGATACTTCTCTCCTTTTATCAAGAAAGACATTATTTGTGTCTAAATATAGCACTGTTTCTAACTCAGAGTGCCTGCAGTGTTTCTTACAGATACGCCTGAGCAGTTTCAGTAATAACTTTGATAGCAGGAATAGGTTTCTCCCTCTGCCCCCTGCAGCTACAGCTGCTGCATAAAGCCTAAGTATACACCAGTGCCCAGCTGCAGAGCTTGAGTTTGAACTTGTAACCTCCAAATACAGTGAGTTCACCTCATTAGTACACTAAGTTAATTGAGTCAGTGCTCCGTCATCAATATCTTCAAGTTACCCTATTCCCTGGGATGCAGTTTACTGTGAATGTTGACTCTTCAGTCATATTTAATGCTAGACCTGCTCCAGTTGTCCCATATTGCCTCTAAAAGTAAGAAAATGTTTTTTGAAAAGGGTAGGAAAAAAATGAATAATCAAAGGAACTTTGCTATATTTTGTCTGGCTGCACTGCAGATAAAGGACAGTTCCAGATTAAAATATACCTCTGATACATGAATGACAATTTAGCAAAAGGTTATGTTACTTTCCATGGTTTAGTCTCCACTTTTAATGACATTTCTGAACTACTAGATTTATAGAATAAAATTACATAAATCTCTGCTACTTTCATTATTCTTAAATGTAACAGAACTGGTAACACAAAGCTCCAATAAGTCTTCATCTAATGGTTATCTGTCCTGTCTTATGCTATCGCAGCTCTGTTTTGGTGTGTGCTAAAGGACTCAGGCAATGACTGGATCCCCCTAATTGCCTCACTCTCACAGTATTCTCAGTGGATCATCTGTTTATATAAATAGAGGTAGCTGGTTTTGTACACCTTTCTGGACTTCCAGACAGATGCATAGGCATGAGGGCTCTTTATATTCATACAGTTCATCTCTTAGCCATTAGAATTATTGGTTTCTGTCATTTCAGGGTTTTCTTAGTGTGTGTGCTCACTAAACAGTTCTATTATTATTTCTTTTACTTGCTTGGGATATGTTTGTGGCTTTGTAGAGGTGTCTGAAGAAGCAGCCAAGCTAAAATGATTGTGGGCTTTCCTAGCTTTGCACAGATGTAAGCTGTCACTGGTGGTTCAAGACCACAGAATCAGTTAAGACTGCTCAGTGTTGTGAGCCAGGGCCCCTATCCCTGCAGTAAGTTAAGGGTAGGAATACTTCACAAATGCAGCTAAATACAAGCTAAATATTTGGATACTGCTTTGTATCATGATAGTGTCAGCCCCAATTCAGTTCTTTGGCAGTATTTACAAGGCATGTCTTAGTCTGACATAAACCAAACAAGGCTACAGATGTTCTCTCTGTGGAAAAGGCTTTATTTGTGCCAATGCCTTGCAGCTGGCTCCTTCTGCATGGGCCAGTGATCTAGAACCTAGAGGTCACAAATCTCCCCCAATGACTGCAAATCTCTCAGTACTTTTTATGATTTCAAGATGGATATTATCACAAATGTGACATGAAAGAATCAGCAACAAACCAGTTGTGTGGTACCTCTTAAGGGAAAGAACATGGAAAAAACCTTACTTTCAGAAAAAGTGTCGGAGAACTGGAGAAAACAGAAATTAGGCTTCAAGAAACGAGAGCAGATACCATCTGATTGGAAATCATTTGTGGTCTAACCAAATCTATTGCTCCTACGTATACCAAGTCTTTTCTTATAATGGTTCTGACATGACATATTTTATTGGAGAGGGATTTATTAAATGTTTTGCAGATGGAGGAGTTGACAGAAGGAATTCGCTGGGCTTTTATTGACATGTTGGAAAAGGAAAATGACTGGATGGACTCTGAAACAAAACGAAGAGCTCATGAGAAGGTAACAAATAGGTTGAATGAGTAAAATCCAGTTACGGTAAAGATTTGACTTGGGCAGCGACAGAATGTCGTGGACTGTACTTGCAGTTCCAGTTGATTACTCTTCATGTTATTTGTGAAGGGACATGTGTCACATTTGTTTTGCTAGAAGCTGAGCTGTCTGAGTTCCTGCTTCTCTGAGGAAGTTGTTTTTCCTACCTTGTTCTTCTTACCTTGCCTCTGTCTTTCCCCATCTGGCTCTGGCTGATGCAGATTATGAGCTTGTTTCAGATTTGCTTGTACAGTGGCTTTTCTTGGCAAGGTCTTCATCTTGAGTGGGATATCAGGGACACAACAATCTAGAGATAGAAAATGGTGTCTGAAACATCTGGGACAGCTGAGGGTGTTTGCTGTGATGGAGGATCGAGCCTAGAAGGAGATATGAGAATAGTCAACGTTTCAAACTTTCTCCATTGCCATGGTGGGAGGCCTACCTTGAAAACCATCATTTAAGAGTGTAATGGACATCCCACTAAACATCCATTTCCCAGTAGAATAATGCCAGTTATGAAGTGCTGTGAGCAAGGATGGTGTTACTGGTCCTCACTGTTTTCAGATAGGGGGACAATAGAATGCAGAAGGTAAAGGTGAAGGCAGGAGGATGTATCCAAAACTTCCTCTTCACTCTCTTCCCACATTTACAGCACATGATGTGTGGAAAGAAAGTTTGTCCAAATGCAGAGCTCTGTTCCCAGAGCAGCAATTGGAAGAGGAATATAAAAAGCCAAGTGGAGGGCATTGTGTAAGTCTGTGTCCTTGTTTGCTGAGGCAATGGAATATCAGTGAATTACTAAGAGCCCTCTTTGAAAAAACTGACGCGCAAGGGCAGCTGAACCGCTCCTGCTCACTGTGCTTGAATGAAAATAGCAGTGTTTTGATTAAAAAGCAAACATGGCCTTCAAAGCTTTTTAGTAATTCTAGTGAAAAGGTTGTTGAGACATTTTATCGTTAGAAAGATTTAGATTTCATATACAGCCATTTACATTTTATACAGCAGTGCTCTTCATATATCTGCAAATGAAATAGAGCTGCATAAATGCACCAATAAACTCTATAGCAAGAGAACAATAGTAAGATGCCATTTATTTCCTGCTATCCTGATGGTAAATGGACAGGAGTTATTCCTTCTTACTAGCTGTTATGCTTGGGTTTTTTACTAGAAATACCCTTAGAAATATAATGATTTGTAATTTAGATATTTGTTAAAATTGGTGCAAAATAACAACAGGAAGATTTTCTAATAATTTCCTTGATAACGATATTTCTATATAACAATCTGCTTAATGATTTTGTTCAAAATTTGCTACCTACCTTTCATTAGGAAAACAACACAAACATTGCCACAAACTAGTGAACTTCTAAAATAGCTCTCCCTTTCGCATTTTAAGGAGGATTTTCATCAGAAGGTAGGTTAGGTATTGGGCCAGTAGAGATGTCTGTAGAGATGTTTCCCTCTGCTGACACACATTTTGGAAGCTTATGGTACTTGGCTCCCAGTTTAGGCATCTCACTGAAATTTCTGAAGTTAGTGGGATGAATCTGGGCTGAACAATGCAGGACAAACTAAATTCAAGAAGTGCAGCAAAAATAAAACTGCAGGCCATAGTACTAGCAAATGAATAGCAAATGCTTTAAATCCATTCTCACTGACTTGAACAGCCATTTTATAGTTTACTGACCTAGGAACCGGGTCAAGTTCATAAGACACAAATGTTACGTAAGGTCTTAGATATTGTAGCAAGAATTATGTGGTAGGAAGTACAACTACAAGTTTAATTTCAGACTCACAGAAACAGCTACTTGTCTGGAAGGAAAGAGTCTAGAGAGACATTTCCAGATATGGAGTGTGTGCATATTTATTAAATATTATTTATTGCTAATGATAGATACTGTAATGCTTGGATGAGGATGTTTCTAATTCAAGAAATAGGTTACTACATGTATGGTCAGATAATTCACTGGGGAAATCTAAGGTTTATAGTACAACAGACAGTTCAAAATCTGTTACACTCTTCTAATTAAATCTCATGAGCCCAGTACTTTATGCTGTTACTTTTTTATTATTTAAGCTTTAATAAAGCAGCACAGACAGACAACATGAATTTTGTGGCAGAGACTGGTTGGTTGGTAGGGTTGGCAAAAAAACCCCCCAGTATCATCACTTTATTATATAGATCTGTAAAAGTGATGTTTCTTCATCAATAAATGTCACCCACCTGCTGGATTCTGCACCAAGGATGGAGTAACAGCAGGCACCAAGTGTGAGCTGGGAGAGGAGAGGAGAGGAGAGGCTGGAGGGCAGACCTGCAGAAAGAGATCTGGTGCTGCTGGGTGGCAGCAGGCTCGATGTGAGTCAGCAGTGTGTGCCCTGACAGCCAAGAGAGCAAACCCCATCCTGGGGTGCATCAAACACAGCACAACCAGAGGGGATCATCCCACTGTGTTCAGCATTGGTGCAGCCTCACCTGGGGTACTGTGTGTGGTTCTGGGCTCTCCTGCTTAAGCAAAATCTGAAGATCCTTGAATACATCTGAGGGAGGGCAACAGGACTGGTGAAAGGGGTGGAAGGAATGTCCTGTGAGGAGTGGCTAGGGAGTTTGGGGATGTCGAGTTTGGAGAGAAAGAGGCTGAGACACCCCCTCATTGCTCTTTACAGCTTCTTGAGGTGGGGAAGTGGAGAGGGAGGTGCTGATGTCACCTTCTTGGGACCCAGTGATAGGATATGTGTGAACAGTTCAAAGTTGCATCATCAGGAGAAGTTTATACTGGAAATTAGGAAGCATTTCTTTACCTAGAGAGTGGTCAAACACTGGAGCGGGCTTTCTTGAGAGGTGGTTGATGCCCCAAGCTTTTCCCCTGTATTTTTAATCTCATTGCATTCTTGAAATGTTTGAATGTTCTGAAAAGAAATGAACTGCAGAAACCTGGTGGTGATTTTGTTTACTGGGCCTGCTGCATGTGATCAATTTAATTTGTCTTTAGCTGTTTCTTTAACTACAGGCATATTAACAGGTCATTAACAATGCTTTTTACTCATTTCCTGAAAGAAGAATAAAGTGAATGCAGGATTCGAGTGTCTGGACAGTGATCATAGAGAGCCTTGTGGTGATTGTATCTTTAGAGGGCAACACTATAATGTGAATGACGTGTCAGTTTTGAAAGAGAATTTACTGCAAAGCCTCTCTGTTATTTGGATACTGTTTTGTGTTTTCTGCTCTCTTGTTTTCTGTCTGATGCCCACCTTTCTTTTGTGCTTGGCTGAGGCTAGATTTGTATACCTGTCTGTCACCCTGATGCCTTGCAATCAAAGGAACAATCGACCTCAAAAGGACTTGCAAAAGACCCTCTGGTAGAATCGATTCTTGAATTTGGCTTTAGGCAGCTTGTCAGCTCCACCTAATCGCCAAGATGTTTCTGTCTGTGACTTTCTTTGTGCCTGTCCTGTTGTTTTAAGTTACTCAGAGAGGACACTGCTAATTTGATGAGTCAAACCGTGTTAAAAGAATCAAATCTGCTACTCCATGTGACATAGGGAACAATTGTCTTGCAGCCTTGCTTTCTGAGAATCATCCCTTTAGCCCTTGTACACTTTGGAATTAAAGTTTTACGTCCCTTTTGTAACAAAACAATATAATAAGATAACATCTAATAATTTACCTCTATCCTTCCTCCATTCTTCTTTTTCTGTGATCAAAACATGAATTTGATCCAGACCACCTGAAGGCCAGTCTTACAAAAAAAGTTTTTATCAGGGTTAGGCGACTCTGCCTTCACGTGCAGTTCTCACCTAGCTCTCTGGATGGAGCTCACGCTGCTTCCAAAGGAGCCCGAGTCGGAGAGAAGTGTTTGGCTCTGCGCTGAGGTGTTTTCTGTGTTGTCCTTCCTCCTCTGCTCTATTCAAGCCTTACTTTATTGTACTGTATTTGACTACCATCTCAAATTTGCTTGAAGTGTGCCTGTTAACCTCCCGAATTTTCAATGGAGTTCTCTGATAAACAAACAAACAAACAAACCAACAACAACAACAAAAAACCCTGAAAGGTTCATCTTCTCACCTTTTTAATGTCTCACTTTTGTAAGGGTCATTAAATTTTGGCCTCATTTGAGGAACAGTGAAATTATTGAGTGCATCTCCAAGGGTGGGTCTGGCAACAGTCTTCAAGTATGTGGTCTGCGAGTTACCAAAGCTGAGCAGAGAGACCCCTGGTCTGCTGCCCTGGCACCTGGTGAGCTCTGTGCCACCTTGCAGCCTCTGAGAAGGACAGCAGATGAGAGGTGGGGGAGAGAGAAGGGATAGCCTTTTGTTTCCCTTACAGTAAAGGTGCAGATTGCAGCGAGCTGTGGCAGCCAAACGGTATTGACATCTGTGTTTTGGCATGGTGGGGTCAGGGAAAAGGGAGAACCCACAACTGAAATTCCACTGAAATAACTTGCGTGATGAGGGCTCACATCTTTAAAATGGTAATTTACTGCTGCTTCTCTTCAAAGGATAATTCAGTGGAAGATCATCCCTCAGATGTTAAATTAGTCCCACTCCTGGGCAGGAACCATTATTTTATTAATCACTATTTTTCCTTCCTGAAATACCCTTTATGCTTGAGTTTAACTGGAGGCTTGAAAAAGAGACTTTTGTACAAAAGCCTGTTTTCTGAAAGTTTGTAGTTCTCTTGTAAAATATTCTGCTAGGCTATGGCAAAGGAATAACTTCCTATTAGAAAGTTTGTGTGTTTTTTTTTTGCTTTGCAGTACTATTTTTAAAACATGGATGATAAGCCAAAAAAGCTTGTTTTTCCTCTCGTAAGATTTTTCTGTAACATTATTAACCTCCTTAGGTCATGGAGCACAAATCCCAAGGTCACTGTGCAATCACTTTTTGCCTAATGAACTTGTGTGCTACTTTGCTTTATTTCTCTCTAAGGAAGTTGCATATGCAACATTTGTTTTCTTCACATCTCTCAGAGT